GGGGGGGGGGGGGGGGGGGGGTTCCACCAATAATAATAATATAGTGGGATCATCTGCGACTTTGCTGCACAAAAATCGAGAAAAGTATCTGAGCTGTAATGGTTGTAACTCCATCTATTCTCTGAGTTAACTACAATAATCGTTTGTCAAATATAATACTTTTCTAGAAAATTTAAATACGTTTGACTGAAATACTCTGAGTAAATAAATTTGGTAAGAACAATTTGTTTTCATTTCATTTTCATTTCGTATTTGTTCATTGCGTATTATAACATTGGAAAAATAGTCCCCGTTCAGAGTTTCCAAAAAGCGTCCTGTTTATCTTAAGAACTAAGGTAAATAGTTTGTGGTGTATGCTTTAAGGGGAGTTGAAAACGGGACCTCCTTTCCAAATGTTGATAGGTCCCAGGCCTCCCACATGCTTAATTCAACCTTAATCCAGTCCAAAACGGCTTAGATGTTTCAGTGTCATTTGCTTTTCATACTTTAAAAAATAAGAAATGAAGCTTTTCAGGGAAAGAGCCGGCATGCTGGCAACGATAAGAGAAACCAAAACATGTCTAGAAAAAGTAATTAATATGGTTTTTTCTTCAATGCATGAATACACAATAGTATTATGTTTGGCATCTAAGAAGCTGCAGAATTAAAAGTTTCCTCCAAGTTTTTCTGAAAGTAAACATTTTTTTCGAACATAATTATGCTGATTATTTTTTCATATTGACAAATACAATGTCCCCTTGGATGTACTATATTTGTTCAACATTTCTTTGAAATTGCTCCAAAGATGACCGAGCTATTGCCCTTTAAAAAGGTCATTTTTGTTGATCTTCATTATTCAGTCAAAATTAAAGGATATAATTTCCAGATTGTCGAAAATAATTATGCACTGAAAAGTGCTTCTTATCGGGAATTTTCACTGCATTATTGCCTCTCACCCCCCCCGTGTGTTTGTTTTACCATAGCTCTCGGTCTATTTCTTTTTATTGTCACCCTTGCACGAAAGCAGCACGTCAGTAATCACCCCCCCCCCTCCCACCCAACCTATCCCAGGACCACACTCGCCATTCTAGCCATAAGCATTTTGGTTAGAAATGTCTACTGGAGTAGAATAAAAAAGCTTTCAACAATTTGAGCTCTGGAGAGTTCTGTTTACGGACACTAATCGCTTGTTGTTGGGTTTTTTTCCAATTAATTGAAACTGCGTTATGAGCCAATGCTTTTGGGAGGGGAGTGGGTACACAGATCGATAGACAGACAGACAGACAGACGGATGGACAGACAGACAGACAGACAGACAGACAGACAGACAGACAGACAGACAGACAGACAGACATATTTATAGATAGATAAAGAAAAACGGGCAAACAGAGATCGAGAAGGAGAGAAGCACAAACTGTGAAATAGTTACATAATGTATTTTTTAAAAAGCGGACAGACACGAAAACAAACATACAGAGAGAGAGAGAGAGAGAGAGAGAGAGAGAGAGAGAGAGAGAGAGAGAGAGAGAGAAA